CTTGAACTTAAATTTAAGCAAACCATCCCACAATATATGTTATTAAATAAATTTAAGTACGCTTTATTTCGCCTATTTTGTGACAGTGAAGTTAACGACGTGCACGATAATGGGTTGGGAAATTTCAGAACATGAAGTCAATGCTAAACTTCCTTTCCTACAGGCTTTTCAGATGTCAGTGGTTCGGAGAATAGCAAGTGCCAACTGACATAAAGCATAAGCGGCTTGGCACTAGGTATCCGTAACCTCGAGGCTCATGCGCGTCTGTGAAATAGTGGACTAGTTTTGAAGCCAATTACGTTGGTCCCTCACAACTGGGAGGAGACAAACTAAATGCAGTGCATTTCTACCTGTAACTTTTCACCCACTTATATGAACGAAATGGAGGGCGATTTTTGAGCTACAACAAATCGTTTCATTCAATTTATAGTTTTATGAGAATTTAGAAAGTGTTTTGCTAGCCACATCCACACTCCGAGGTTGAGCCCTCGGAAAACTTATTACAAAGTATCATATCACCTGCCGTATTGTTTTGCTTGAAACAAAATTATTGCTACACCCTTTTTGCGCTGACGTTTTTGTTATTCTACTCTTATAGAACACAGCTCGCAGTATTTCGACCATAACTGTTGCCTGCCTAAAAGCAGCCGAGATCAACTAGACTGTTTCCCGTTTTGCGTTCAGGTGCGGAAAAAACGTGAGACTTAATGGTGCAGCAAGGATGTCGAACAAAGCCCAGTCCGCGCTATCGATCTGCACGTTTGTAAGCACATTTGAACCGTAGGACAAGTGTCACCGCAATATCAGGATGCAGATTGAATATTAGCAATTGCAATTAAGTTTCGTATGCTAATTAAAAATACGGTTGTACGAAGCCATGAATAATGGTGCATTATTTGTCCCTATTGCCAGTTATGATAGATATGCAGTTTTGAGAACGGCATGTACGAGATATTATTACCAATGAACTTCGAGATATTTAGTGAACCGCATTTTAGCGTCTCCAGATTTGCGGTTCATTATTGACAGTTTGAAGTTACGCGAAGTTACACGACAATCTTGCATTTTCTTAAAATATCATACACCGTGACAACATAGACATGAATTTCCGACACTAGGAGATAAACATTTGGAACTAACAAATTTCTAATGTTTTAACAATTGTGTTATAAGTCATGAGGTAAATTAATGCCTCAAAAAGGGACAGTTGACACATGGTTTGTTTCTCATACACGGGGATATATGGAGTCATTCTTAGCCAGTGGTGTGCTTAATACCGAATGTTGCTTTAATTATTTCAAAAATCAAAGATAACAAGTTCTTCCATCCAACTCATCTAAAGTTGTCGGTTGTTGAAAATATCATACTCTGCTTAGTGTCATCAAAACATGCTATTAATTTGTTTGCAACTAGATTTACCATAAGTAACACAGCTTGACAATATATTACCGCAATATATTGTCATTGATATTATTTTACAGAAAACATGTGACAGAGTAGATGCCTGTTGCAGTTGAGGAAGCTTTTATGCACCTTGCTAAATTCGAGAAACCTTTCAGACTGAGGATGTCCGAGTTTCTGTGGGGAGTTCAAGAGTTGAGTTGTCAGGGGGGAAGTCAATCGAGGAAAATCAATAGCAGATTAAAATATTCCACTTGGACATCAAGTTGCATCATTGCCAATTAGCTACCAAAGTTTATTAGGTCTCAAAAATTGGCTTGATTTGGCGCGCTAGTTTTACTTTTAAAATCAACATACTATTTTTATTCTTCATTTAGGTTAGCATTAAACACTACATTTTGTAAAATTGAAATAAACTTGCGTCTAAATATTTTCCTGTGCAACGGACATTGCGAAAAACAATTGATAAAACAAAGTTTAAAACAAGATTTCGACCAGTAAACAAAGGGTTCTGACAGAAATCTCACCATTAACTTGAAAATTTAAAAATATCCTCACGCCTTTTGCATCCACGTCATTACAATGCAAGTAATAAGTTTCACAGACGTTGTACTCCAAACTCAATGCGTTGCCAGTAGAAAAAGTCTAGGAACAGCATAATTCGTCGCCCGCAATATGTTCAAGTAGCCTAAATGTGAATAAATGAAATGGAATCTAATCTGATTTTGTCTTATACCGTTAACTACCACTTTTTATGTAGGCACCGGTGTAAAACAGTAATTTTTCGCAGACTGCAACCTAAAGTATAGTGTTTCTGTTACCAATTTGATTGCAAGCGACCCGAAAGATCACTTGATAAGGAAAGATATTCTCTAACTAGTATGCAGGGAATGTGATAAATGGCGATAAAACTACTTTTCCCTGTTATTAATGCTAAGGACAACTTGCCCAATCTCTGTAAAGAACATATTATGAGCTAGCATAGCCGAAACTTATAACTTCTTGGAAATAACACCTTTGGAATTGGTGTTAAAGTCGAACAACGTCAAAGGAATGCCATATTCTCTATTAAAACTCAAGGAATTTTTTTAAAACCACTTCTTCAAAGCGTTGAAGCCTGAAACCCGGCTAAAACTATTTTGTTGAAACCGCATAAATTCTGGTGAACAAATAAATCACGGACTGCCAAGCCCATTAGCCGAGACGGCATACCCAAGGTAACTGGCATTTATGAAGCCCAATTCCCATTGCTAGATAAGTTTTGAATGGGATTCTGAAACCTAAACCATTGCAATAGTTCCCTATTAGCAGATAGAAAACAAGAAAAATTCATGCGAAATTGCTCTGTGCTCAGTAAACGTGACTACTTGTGTTACAATGGCAATTATTTCATTTTACAAATTTGTGTCATTGTTTTCAACGTTTAATCAAATGTACAGATTAAAGGCCAAATCCCTTGATAAAAATGAAAAAACGAGTGCCTAGCTGAAAGGAAAGCGCTCAATGAATCCCAAGACAATGGTTTCGAGGTCCAGGCGTTAGCACGCTTTGCCAATCACCATTTTTACTGGGTTAAACGCAAACAACTTGCCTAGAGTGGCCATAATTTTGCGACCAGTAATGAAATGGCCCAACAATGATCCGCTAATAACGTAGCCCAGGTGCTAGACAACGCTATGGCTTAAATAGCGTTAAAGCGTACTACATTCGTGAAGCCTTGATTGTCCAAAATAAGAAGCACTTGTAAACAGATTGCTAATAGTTTTTTTGCAGTGTCGCTAAATACCGCATTCTAAACAGGAAGCATAAAAAAGTGAATAACACACATATGTGGCTCATAAGCAAATTAAATGAAGTTGCCATAAACACACTTATAAAATGAAAAGCGTCCAGGTTGCAAGGCCCACTTACCCCAAAATTTAAAACCAACATCGAAAAACAAAAAGTGGAATTGGATGAAATTGTGCAAATACCATGCTTATGCAGTCATCATATTTCAGTTTTCGTTGAGGCTTGGTGAATTAGTTCGCATACAAGGTGACTAAACACAAGCGAACACAAAACTTTAGTAATTAAGCATGTTCCTATTCCTGATTGCTACTTGTCGCAATCAGTTAGGAATAAACGACATTAAATTTTCAGCCACGTTTGTTCATAACAGTGGAAGACACAAATTAAATTTTTTTATTGAAAAAGATGTAATGAAAATGTTTAAATCACCTTCAGGAGACAGCAAATGACTTGACCTTTATAAGGTATTCTTTCGAGAACCTCGTTGCCTTCATTAAAATGCTGGACTTCAACTTAGACGTTGCAGAAAATACAAGTTGTCTACCCAAATGGAACTTTTGTTCACTTCTTAACCACTTTGGTTTATGAATGGAAGCATTGTGTCGAAACATTAATGCACACTCTCTCGTTTTAAAAAAAACTTTCCACACTGCGCTCTGAAATGGCGCCGAGGCGTTGATCCCAATGACCATTTAAACCCAAATACTGATGTAATGCGTACACATCAGTTCAGTCGGATTCTTAAGATATTTGCGTGCAAAAGGGACCTCGCCTGCATGCGATTTCCATTGCAATGCTGCGCCCAGAGAGACCTAAGAGAGATGGCATGCTTAAATTAAATCCATACAGAAAACGCAATACCCCAGTGAGTGTTTTTGTTGCGTTTTGAAATGCTTGTAGGTGATAAGTCTGGTGAATAAAACTTACTAGCGATTGTTGCGAAATTGTGTTGGGAATGACAGCATTTCCCAGGGCAACCCAATTAGCACCGTGATATGTGACGTCTATCCACTCAGCTCCGTTCACGCAATTACAAGACTGCAGTCACGCGACACTGCTGTTCAGACGAACTCACTAAACAGTATTAGTAACTCAACGCATCGGTCTCATGTCCCCCCTCCCCGGCATATGTGCAAGTGGGAACATCTAAGCATCCACTCGACTTACGCTTTGGTCCAGCTTGTGCTCGAACCTTTGGCTCGGGATGTAAGGTCGACCGCACAAGCTCCAATCTTATTTTGTTCTGGGAAAAACTTCAATCTGCCAAACCTGGGGGTGGGACTCCAACTACTAGCCACGGGGATTTACATCAGCATACTGGGCAAAAGCATAACAAACTTGCCTCATTCTCCGCGAATTCAAATTAACTTTGCGGTCTATTTGATTTAATCCTATGTGGTATTTCATGCCTGCCAACAATTAATGCATGAAGGGACACCAGAAAGGACCGTTGACTGACAAATTGGTATTATACTGAATTACATAGCGATTGTTTTGAAAACGAGAATGTGTCCAATCAGGGATTTAAAGGGAACAAGCGATGTGGCAAGTTTTGCCTGTTGATAAAGGCAAATCGAACGCAACAAGGAAAAGAGTACTTGCCAAAACGATTTATTTAAAAAAAGAAAACACCGAAGCAAATGTACCCAACGAACAATAGATCGGTGTCAGCGCGTGGTAGCTTAATGATTAAATGCGGAGGTAAAATGACAAGAGTCCAGGAAATGCATGCACGAACGAGAAGCACTGACAGGATTTAAGACTATTTACAGGGGATTGTCTTAAAAGACATGGACTTGTCGGAGAAGTTACGCGTAAAATTCGCGACACGGCGCGTGCATGTATGAATTTGAGGCTGCTGGACTTTTTTTGGGCTCCTCAAGAGAATAGGAGCCCTCGTCCTTCTTTCGTAGACGGTAAATACAAAAGAGTATCAGAAGAATAAGCAACAGTAGAGCAGCTACTGTACTACCGACGATTCCTAAGAAGAAAATCATCAAAGGGAATTTGATTAGCAAGAAAAAAAACTTATTACAATTGCTATTGTTGAAATATGAAAGAAGGCATGAACTCGGGAATGGCGCTTGAGCGAGAGAAACACAGCCTCAAACGTCGAACTCGAAACGTTTGACAAAAGCCTGGGAATTAACATAGGTGTTTCAGTGACATATGAAGAAACTCACAAATAGTAAGCCTGTTTGGTGCATTAAAACGTAATTAAAGCAACGGGGAAATTTATTCACATTTGATTGATTGCTTACTATATTTGCACTTTGCTAGGGAAATCAGGTGTTTGGGGGCAATGCATACATTTTGCTACGAGACCCAATCTTAGTGAATGCGTTGATTTTCGTGAAACGAAAATTAAAGTGAATCCCGCCGAATCACTAAAGTGTATTAGTATAGATATGCTGGAAAGCACATTCAAAAGGACTAGTCAACGGACAAGTTATTAACATGTTTCAAGCTTGCCTGCAATAACACCAGGTTGGTTGAGAACTTCTCGGTGTCGCCAGCTGTTCTGCACTGCAAGGTCATGAGCAGTTTGCCTAACGGAGATTGGTCGTTTGCTATTGCTTCCAGGATAGTCCTGTTGAGGTGGATCCAATTGATGCGTAGAATCTAAAACGATAAGTGACGTATTGGGCAGCATTTACCCATTTGTATATAAATCGCCGTACAAGTAAGCGAGGAAGCTTTAATCCAATTTCACGTTTGGCATGATACGAGGAAGCACCTATACGACGCAGATTTTAGTACTAACGCCACGAATGCCAAATGTAGTTTTGTCGATATCGTAGTTTCCAACTATGCCATACCAACCAAAAATTCGCTTTAAAGGACTTTCGCATACATCGTTGATACAACGCCTTTTGTAATGTTCCCTTCGAAAGGAGGAGCGTGCAGCTCATAGTATCATCGCGAAAATCAGAAAACGCGTGCGCAGAATCTATCTAGTTTATCACTTACTCGAATGATGGCAATCCCGGCGTTAAGAGCTTGCTAAAATACTTTCATAAAATGTGGGGTCACATTAACCCAACTAATAGAATTGACCGGAAGCAAGATGAGGAACAATTGTTTCTGCACAAGGTTTGTTTCAACTATGCCTTAAGAATTAAGTGAACCATTAAAAGTGAACTGTGATCAGACACTGGATTATAGGCCAACTGGACATCATAATTTAGTTTGTTATCATGCAGGGTTGGCTTAGAACGTGGGGACATTTCAGCAGCTAAATACAAAAACGTGTTAGCTTTTTTGATCTCACCGTCACCAGACCATGAAAACTTTCAAGCTTGTTGTGACAGTACCCACATTTGCAAAAAAAACATTTAAAACTTGACAGGAGAGGTCTTAAGGGCATTGGTAATTTACATGTAGCAGAGGACTGTAAAAAGAACAAAAATTAGAAGCCCAGAAGAAACAACTGTTTCATAAGGTCATAATGATTAACGAACTGCAAATTGTTGGACCAGGTAGTTACCATGAGAGCAACAACACAACGAAATGTTAACCAAAAGTCTAACTTGACAAATTTGGAACAAATTAGGGCACTTTAAATTTATTAGGAAACATAAATGACAAAGTCACATGAAAGGACAACGGCGAAAATAAAATTTCAAAAGTAGTTACCCGCTTGGCTCACAGAAATGCCACCTTCTTGGACTTCAGACTCCTAAAAAGTCATATAATAAATAAAACTATTGGTGTAAGTGCCTATAATAGTCTGGAAAAAAAACGCTTTTTATTAATGATGTAGAGATGCTGCCTCCTACATCATATCCATCTTAAATGCATCAGTTTAATTCAACAAGAATTTGTACAACGCTTTTACTAAGAAAGACACTAAAAACCAAATTAGAATCATTACCGGAAAAGGCAAACAGGAGAGTGAAGCGGTATGTTACTGAACCCAAAAACTTAACGGACACATAGTTGCGTCAATTTTTAATTGCGTTCCTAACTGTGTTCAATTTTCCAGACTTCCAGACAAGATAGCGAAATATTTAACATCTGAATGCCCGGTAATTTATTTTAATAAAATTTATTTTAACATGAGAGGAAGCAATCGCAGAGCTAGCCACTGACTATTCAAGACACAAGAAAGGTTACATTGAAAATTCCTGATAGATTTTATCGAAAGAACACATTCAGATTCCCGGAGGAATCTTGTGAAGTTTAAGATAAAACAGTTAAGGCGGCTTACCTCCTTATGAATCAATTCTGCATTCTGATTAACTTGCAATGCCGGCTGTGGGTCTGAAGTGAAAACACAACAAGAAAGGAAACTCGGTCCAGATTTTATCCAGAGAATCATTCTCCAAAAATTGGCACTATTTGCATCTCCACTTCCAAGTTGGACTTAAGGCGCCAGCAACTTGGGACCAAAATTAGACCAACGTCAAATAAACAATTCACTTGATATTCAAGCAGCTAATCTAGCCCCAAAATCTGAAGCAATTACAGGTCTGAAGAATACATTTACTGCAGATCATGGAGGAGTGGCTGTGACTTTAAATCAATTTATTACCGGCCACGTGTTTTTTTAATTAAAAGAGCTGCTTTTGTGGGTAATTACAAGAATGACATAAAAAAGAGAATTATGCTTAGAGCACTTCTTTGGTTTTAACATGATTTATCTATAAACATAGGTTACATTAAAAATACAGGAGCAACTGTCATCATTCGACATCGTTTGTTCAACAGGTTATTAGTGCGTACAAGAGTTCTAACTCAGCCAGGATGGAACAGTTGGAGATTAATTTAAACTCGAAATAACCAATAATAGGGCTGGGAAGGAAGTACAAACAACAATGACCATAAAACTGCTCAAAAGTGCAACTATTAAGTGCCAACTCTACCCTCCATTCTCTCTGCGATTAGTTGAATATAGCTAGCATTTGGTTCCAAAGGTCCCACTCCAGCGAGATAGGCCTCGTCAAGGCGGTGCTTGATGAGTTCTTCAAGATCTGCCAGACTCTGCCCGTGTCCTGTGGAGAATAGCAACACTTCAAAGGCGATCATTCGACCGGGATCCCCTACTTGGGGTCTGTTATGCGCTTCATTGAAAGAAAGACGGCGTATCGCGGCGACTCGCTGGTACCCTGTGGAGGCATGGCACAGTTCCTGCAGTACTTGAACGATTCGTGGTTCCCAATAGGACGATGTAGGTGTGTCAGCCCATTTATGTGTTTTCGTGTAGGACTGTGTGTCGTAAGAGATGGGCTCGTTTTGGTAGACTACCAATTGGATTTTCAGCACAGCTAATGGTACAAAGGATTGTTATTAAAGTTGAGACAGAATCAACTTACACTAAAATTCAACTGTACATAGAAGCCAAATAACCGCGATTTCCATTAAACAAAACAGACACAGTTTCACATTAAACGCGTATATTGTAAAGTGACAGTTTCACTTTGAAGTTTTTAATTAATCGAAAGCTGATAACGGAGCTAATAAATGAATACGCTTCGTACTAGGCATTTCCCTCATGGAATTTTAGCATAGCTTATATCCAGGAAACTCTTTTGTACAATAAATTGAACAAATGCCACTGATATAAAACAGCAGACTCCGTGAGCATACTGTTCGTTCAGTGCTACAAGCCCAAGGAATCCACAGTGCAGCCAATTAAAGCCTGAAGATTTAATAATATTAGGTATATGACTTCATTGTTACAAATGTTTCAACAAATGTACTTAGCATAAAAAAGTACAGAACAACGAAATTAATCTTGGAAATATTGTCCATCGTCTTCTATGACGTACGTATGAATGCAGTCGTGAAAGAAACTTGCAGGCTTCGAGGGAATAAAGTCATCGACGAATTTACAGGAATTTTCCAGCCCTTTTGAACTGAGTATCCACTATGGCGTGTTGCACTGACCGGAACAAATGATAGTCAGAAAGGGGGCTAAGTCTAGTGACTACGCCAGGTGCGAGAACTTCCCATCACAAGTTCAAGAGGGCCTTCTGAGTCACTCGAGCAACGTGAGGTCGGGCGTTGTCATGAGGCTTTATGACTTGCCTCCTTTCTTGCGCAGTAAATGGCTTTTTCCCATCACATTCTTCGCTTAGTTTGTTCAATTGTCGGCTGTAGTGTCCCGTAGTCATCGTCTGACCAGTTTCTAGGGGTTCGTAATACAATAAACCACTCATGTCCTATTAGATACGCAAGAGTACCTTCTTGTTCTTCAAGTGGATGTCCTGTTTCGGTGTAAATGCACTGAGTTGCCGTGACTCTACTCACGATATTTTACGTTTTGGATTCTCGTAAGAAAACATACATATGATCATCCGTCACAATCATCCCCACGACCTTTTATTGCTGCCGCGCAAGCAATGAAAGACATATGTTCATACATTGACCAAGGTTGTATGCGGTCAACATAACTTCCAAGATTTTAATTTTTTTCCCATTTTGTACAAGCGCTTGGAAATAGCTGTTTGGGTAACAACTGAGCCGCAAGCTCTTGTTGCATTTGCCTTGAATCTTCATCCGGTGCGGCTTGCAATTCCGCATCTTCGAACTTTCGAGGCTGCTGTCCAAAGTGAGACTTGTCAAAGCGATCAAAATCACCACTTCTCAAACGTTTGTACCAATAATTAAACGTTTCGTAAGGCACCACGTTGGCACCAAGAGCCCTACGAATTGAGTCCCGTGCTTCAAAAGCATTGTTCCCTTGTTGGAATTCGTATAAATTCCAGTGCCGAATATGCTGTTTATCAGCTATCATCGTAAACTCTGCTGCTCTGGAAGGTTATGTCATTCACAGAAGCTTTTCGCTCGGTATTTTGAAATTTTGTGTCCGATCCATTCAAAACCACAGAAGACCGCGAATATGTTTCCATTTTAAATACAATCTTAAGTTCGAAGAAAACTATGTAAAAATTAAGTGTTACACCTAATACCAGACGAACACTGATTCGGAAGCAGGCAGTAGAGGCAATACAATAGTATTTGTCGTAGTCGATAGGACGTAATACTAGGGACAACAATTACATTCAAAAATTAATATGGTGAGGTCCAAATGGAAGAGAAATGCGTAAAGACTTGTCAGTTGCAACATGTAGGCAAGAAACTAAAAGCGATTTTCAAATAAAAGATAATCTACGGTTGATGATTTTAATTTTTGGATACTAATTTTTTTATTATTTTTTTGGATAATCAAATTTTCCAACAATTTTAACCTTGAATTAACAATATGAAGAGTTAAAAGCAGACCAGTTGTTGTTGAAACGTCTAACTTAATACAATTTTTCATCTGTTTATTCAACTACTGGATGTTGGATTATAAAATAACAGTGATTATAAAATTTACATACTGAAAGACACAACAGGTGCTGACGGGTACAAAATTAGTATCAGATACCGGCCATGGTTTAGTGATCGAAGCCACCAAGTGGTCATGTTGGTGACCGATGCCTCACGCACACGGGTCGTGGAGGCAATCCACCGCTAACGACTTCAGCACGCGTCGCGCCAAGACGCGATATGAAACATCCGAGAACGAGGAAGGTAGACAAGACGTCGTGGTGAATCATGTTGATTCACGTCCATTAAGCCGCTCGCTGCACACTCCAGCACACTGCCCACCCCACTCCTCCACACAGCGTGCCCTTCAGCCATGCGCGACCGACTGCTCACACACGCTTTTCATGCAGCTCCACCGCCATCCCCTCCACCCATCTCCCATTCAGTCAGTGTACTTTCACAAGTTCACCCCAATTGTGTTGGCCATTA